TGTGTGTGCGGTACTGTGTGTGGGGGGGGGGGGGGGACTGTGTGCGCGCACATTACCCTTCTCTCCTCCATTATCTTTCTCTGTCCATCATCCTGACTGACGATTGAGTGCCGTGTCTTGGGTTCATGCGTGCGAAATGTTTGGGAAGTGAGCATTGTGGAATGCGTTCATTGCAAAAATAGAGAAATGAAAAATAACTGAATATGGCAATATGGCAGTATGGCATATGCAGATTTTATTCAGATTTATGTGTTGTACTCTTTTGCTGGGTTGCATGCCGGCTGGCCGCTGACGCTGACCGTCAACCGTTCTGGAGCCCGTCAGCAGGGCTGACCGGTCGGCAGTCTGCCCACCAGTCGCTTGAGGACCATAAAGTGATTTTTTGTTGTAACCTGAGTTTGGGGCTGTACTGCGCTCGCTGAGTACAGCCCAAATCTGCTGAGGAGGAACTTCAGCTTTGGGGGGGGGGGGGGGGGGTTGTTATGGAAGGGTTTATAGGGGGTAGGGGGGGGGTAGGTTGGTTAGGGCGGGTCGAGGGGGTTGTAGTGGCCCTGCGTTTTTTTTTTTTTTTTTTTTTCAGGGTGCCAACCACCAGCCAACCAGGTGGACCGGACGGCTGGTAGGTTGCTGACCAGTTGAGGGGTTATAGGGGTAGGGGGAGTTTCTTTGGGGGGGAGAGGATTATAGCGGTGCTGCCTTTTTTTTTTTTTTTTTTTTCGTCCCTGCAGGGTGCCTACCGACAGGTGCCGACAGGTTGACCGGACGGCTGGTCGGTTGCTGACAACTCTAGCAGTGCTAACGTTGGCGTGGCGACACTGCTCTGTGGGCTTATTTACTGTTGGGCCGTGTTGGCTATGTATCAGGTGTCTGCTATCATCTTTTCTCGAGGAGGCGGTTCAGTGCAATGCCGGCATACCAAGTGGCAGAGATGAAGCGTATGCCTCTAGAGGAGCTCTGCCTGCAGGTAACGTGGAATGCAATTCGATTTCTTGTTTTTTTTTGCACGAATTGGGAATGGGGAGGAGAGACCACTCTCCATTTTGACATGGCGTACTTTCTAATGGACAGCGCCAAGCACATTATCATAATGGCATGTTATGTCCATGGCTACGATCTGGTTCGATCCGGACGTCCGGATTGCAGCACGGACGGTCTTCGTCCGGTGTCTGTCCAGAGCACGCCCGGATCTGCCCGCCCACCCCGGAAAAAAAAAATTCCAACATAAAAAGAAAAAACAAAAAAATCCGTAAAAAACTTTAAAAAAGATATGTTATGCAGCATTGCAGTACAAAAATCTTTTGGCTGAGGATTATCTCGAAATTCGCAACGAGAGGAAAAATCAAAACGATTTTTTGGGCGAGGGGGGGGGGRGGGGGGGGGGGGGGGGRGGGKGAAGGGGTGGGGTCAATCCGGATGGTCCGGAGCCATCCAGACAGAGGTCCGGCCAGACGTCTGAATTGGTTCGGTGTCTGGGTCCGGCATAGCCAGGGTTTATGTTAGTCCTCTCTGTTATGTGCCAACTCTACAGCGCGTTCAGAAGGACTCTTACCCATTCCTGCTTAGAAGACATTCGCACTTGGATTCTTCGGACTGAATGTTGCAAAAATTGTGCCCAGATACATTCACAGAAGGGCGTGTGGGTATCGACCGAAAGTGGTCATGATTGTGCCCGGATGCATTTATGAAAGGAAGTGCAATTGTGTACTGAAAGTAGCCGTCGTTTTGTCGAGATGCAGTTATGAAAGAATGTGCATATGGAATGTCCCGATGAACCCGTTCTCTCTTAGAATATAGTACCACTGGGACTTTCTGGACTGAATGTGGCCGTAATTATGCCCAGAGACATTTAGGGAAGGACGTGCCAGTATTTGCTTTGGTGTACTGGGGCGAACTTCAGGTTGCCTTGGGGTCTTTCTCTGCATCCATCGACAAGTCGCGCATCGGTACCGTATGGAATGCCGGTCTGCCAGATCAGAAGTGTGCCATTGGGACTGGCTTCAGAGTTGCAGTCCCATGTAGGGATCCCGTTCAGAGTCTGGCGCGTTCTCTGTGGCATTGGAGCGCTTTTCCGGGTGCTGGTTGACACCGTCGTGGTGCTGATCCCGGCCCGGCCACTCGCCAAGCATGAATCTTCCGCCAGAACGGGGGAACAACATCATTTTTGTGTGATGTGCATTGCCGCAACCAGATCAGACGTGTGTGCCATTGGGACTGGCTTCAGAGTTGCAGTCCCATGTGGGGATCCCTTTCAACGTCTGGCACGTTCTCTGCAGCATTGGAAAGTCTTTCCAGGTGCTGGTTAACGCCGTCGTGGTGCTGATCCTGGCCCGGCCACTCGCCAAGCATGAATCTTCCGTCAGAACCGGGGAACAACATCATCATTTTTGTGTGATGTGCATTGCGGCAGCAGCCAGAGCAGAAGTGTGTGGCATTGGGACCGGCTTCAGATTTGCAGTCCCATGTAGGGATCCCTTTCAGGTTCTGGCACGTTCTCTGTGGCATTGGAACGCCTTTCCAGGTGCTGGTTGACACCGTTGTGGTGCTGATCCCGGCCCGGCCACTCGCCAAGCATGAATCTTCCGTCAGAACCGGGGAACAACATCGTCATTTTTGTGTGATGTGCATTGCCCCGCATCGAGGCCCCATTTGTCTGAATTCTTTGACTGCCCACGTGACTGTTAGTAACCTGGGGCAGGGTCCCACTTGCGTCAATTAGCAGATTTCGGCCGTTGATCGTTGCTATCTACGGTCAATATTGCGTAATTCGTGTAAGTGGGACCTAGCCCCTGGTCCAGGTAAGGAGTTCAAACCGGCAGCTGGAGGTGTGACCTCCCACCTTGGCCTGTTCTCCCTTCTCTCCTACACACTCTCTCTCCCCCTCCTGCTCTTCCCCCCCCACCCTCCATACTCAATCCCCCATGCTGGGCCTCAGCTTCGCTGTGCCTGGGTCCATTTTCTGGACCAAATCGACTTGTTTTTTTAATATGATGATGACGGTATGGGTTGTGTCCATTTTCTGAAAGCAGTGATCCCTCCCTCTCTCTTTCTGGGTGCAGGTGAAGTCGATCAATGAGAATATAAAGGTGAAGGATTTTCTTGGGAAGGCATTGGAACCGCCAATTCCAAAGGTATGCATCTGTGAGGAATGAACCCTTAACGTTTCTTTTTTTTTTTTTTTTGGGTGTGAATTTGACTAGGCTAGCAGCCAGGCCGCCAGGGTCACTCTGTTTGGGCGGCCCGGCTGTGCAAGGACCAGGTCCGACCAGGGAAGGTCCCAGCCAAARAAAAAAAAAAAAAAAAAAAAAGGGGAAAAAACTTTCCTGGACGGCCCGGCCGTGCAAGGACCAGGGAAGGTCCCAGCAAAAAAAAAAAAAAAAAAAAAAACCTGGAAAAAAGACTATGTTATGGCAGTTATGCAGAAAAATAAGCTGAACAACTTTTGCGTCAGGTTCACATCGAAATTCTTTACCTGTGTAGCACACCGAACATGTTCGGAGCTTTTCCGAACGTCCGAACATGTTCGGGTGTTCAGCCGAACGCCAACCGAACGTATAAAAAAACAACCCTTTTTTTTTTGGTTTTTTATTTTGAAATCGAGTTTGGTAACGAATTTGAGCATACCTCCAAGGCAAAAGTTGTTTGTATTATTATTTTACATCACGTATTTTTTTTTTCAGATTTTTTGGAGAACTTTTTTTTGTTTTTTTAATATTTTTATGTTCACGTTCGGAGAGTTTCGGCACTCGGTCGCGTTCCGTCCCGAACGTTCGGGTTCGGTCACCGAACCCGAACATGATGCTACACAGTTCTTTACCAAAAAAAAAATAAAAAAATACAATATATATAAATAATATATATATATATATACAGGGTCACCAGCCCGTACGTACGGAGGTCCCCGGGCAGACCTCCGTACATATGGGCGTTCGGGGTCCCGTACGGGGTCCGAACCCGACGGCATTCGGCGCCCGCCAAAAATTATTTCAGGGCCTAAAAATAATAATTTTTTTCTGAATTTGTTTTTGTGAATTCTCTATGACGTGAGGTACATGCCTGTAAAGTTTCAAGTCATTTGGCTAAGCCAAATAAGAATTAAAACTCTCCGAAGATGGCGGTGTCAAAACGTGCTCGCCCACGTATTTTTTCACTTTTTACTTTTTGTTTTCACTTTAGTTCGGGTTCTAAACAATTTTATTACTTGTTGAAACTTTTTTAGTGGGTTTGTGTTATGTGAAGTACACATCTGTAAATTTTCAGGGCATTTAGCTATGCCAAAATAAAAAGAAAAATTGCCAGAGATGGCGGTGTCGAAAACATGCTCGCGCACTCACTAAATGCAGTTCTCTTTTTATTTTTATTTATTTTTATTATTAGTATTTGTTTTCCGTATTTTATTTTTATTTCAAATTTGGTAAGGAATTCGGATGTAATGCTCAGGCAAATCTTGTTTAGTTCATTTTTCTCCATAACATATCTTTTTTTCAGAGTTTTTTGATGATTTTGTGTTTTTTTTTTTTTTTTTTTTTTTTGGTCCGCATTCGGCCCGAACGGCCGAACGCATCCCCAAGGGGTCCCATACGTTCGGGTGTTCGGGTTTGGGCGTTCGGCCCGTCCCGAACGCCGGTTACCCTGTATATATATATATATATATTTGGCCCGGCCGGGCAAGTTGTCCCGGGCCACTCTGGTAGCGTAGGTATTTGGACTATGTACTATTGATTTATGGGTGTCATCCTCATGCACAGGCTCCATTCTTGCTAATTCACCCTTGTCTGTATTGTTCCAATTTTAGCGGACGTACTGGACGACAGACCGAACCTTTTGCGTTAGACAACCAGTACCTTTCTCAGCTATCGTTGCCGAGCCTAAAATCGAGAAGCGCGCCAAAAAAAAAATGAACCGGCGCGGGTCTCGACTTGGCTGGCGCCACCAGCCAAGAACCTGCCCGCCTCCTGTGTTGACCGGCGGCCATTTGTCTTCTAAGCGTGGAAAGGTACTGGTGGTTTAAAACACCATTCCATCGGGACCTATTTTGGAAAACCAAGCATTGCATTTTCCCGAGCCTAAAATCTACAGTGTGGTCGTGAGCAAAAATAATTGTGGTACCCCTCCCTGCTGGACCTCACCGGGCCTGGGCACTGTAGATTTTGGCCTTGGTACTTGTAGACAAAAAAATCAACAGTGCAGGGGCCGTCGCCATGGTGGTTTAAACCGCAACCGGGGAAGTACCTCCACACCTATTTTATGCAATTTGCGATTTTGCCCTGCTTGGGCAAAATCGCAAATTGGATAAAATAGGGCGTTTGGGTCTGGCAGCGGTGGCACCCACACTTATTTTCAGTATTTTTTACACTTGTGCTAGATTTTTTGAACTTTTTCCCCCCCAGGAATCTGAGGTCTTTTCTTTTTTCTTGGGGTTGTGGTTCGATCTGAAGGACTTGCCGATTGTGTTTCTTCTATGTTTCAATCTTTTACGAGTGTGGTGTGATATGCTAACTCGGTGGAGTGGTATTGCTGTGGATGTATGTTCTCACGCTTAAACCATTAGTACATTTGTCGGTTCGGAAAATAGTGGGCCTCCGACCTTTCAGGAGGCTGAAAGGAAACGACGGCCGCCGATCAGATTTATCAACGGCAGCTGTTGTTGTCGGCTCGGAAAATCGTGGGCCTCCAACCTTTTAGGAGGCCGAAACGAAACGACGGCTGCCGATCAGAATTATCAACGGCAACCGTTGTTGGGCCCGGTATCCTAAAAGTTCGGGACTAGGCTAAAACTTGTCAAAACTGAATGGCAAAGGTACTAGTGGTTTAAACCACTTCCCAAGGCTTTGATTATGAATCCTATTTTCCCGATGCTTGGTTGGTTATTTACCAGGGGTGCAGGCCCACTAACAAAGAGGACTACCGTCTTCCCCCGAACATAACGCACCCTGAAATTGGACGTATGCAAGCTATATTCCCGGTCCGGTACAGCCAAGATGAGGGTGCGTTGTGTTCGGGGGAAGACGGTAGGCTGGCAGGGATGTGGATCATACTTGCGGCGCATTGGTGCGGTGCGCAATGCGCAGCGCGCCGTGCGCGCCAGTGGCGTGCGCCAGGTCGTGCGCTGTGCGCGCGCATCGGTGCGCTGTGCGCTGTGCGCACTGCGCTGCGCTGGATCACAGTGCGCTGTGCGCCGGTGCGCTAGGTTGTGCGCGTGCCGCGCGCATTTGCGCGCATGGTGCGCCCCCCCGAATTTTTTTTTTTTTTTTTTTTTTTTTTTTTACCTGCACTTACTCCCTGTCTTTCCTGCAGCACCTACAAACATCACATCTTCAACGATTCTTCATACAGTGTGTAAAATAGTCATTTGCAGCAATCAGGCTATGCCGCACCATGCTGAACTTACCTGTTGGTCGTGTTGCGCATGCGACAGCGGCAGCAACATGTCCACAGTTGCACACACAGCGAGCAGCAAAGGCAAGAACAGGACACACAGGAAATCAGTTCACAACTTCACAACAAGTTTCTAACTTTCTACTATCTAGCATTGCCTTTCAATTTTTCATCTCTGAAGTTTCAACTTTGAAGTTTGAACAGACAGTCACACACAGTTCGCAGCATGAAGAACACACAAACATACAACACACAAAAACAAGCAGGAAGAACTTTAAAATTTAAATGAGAAAAGAAATTTGAAGAACACACAAACATACAACACACAAAAATGAGAAGCAAGGACTCAAATTTGTGGAAGTCATCATCAAAATTTCAATTTACGAAATTGGCTGGCGCCCACAGTTCACAAACTTCACATTGTCCAAAGGCCTTGAAGTGCCACTGAATCTACGGATTTGCCATTACGAGTGCCCCGGTCCACTAAATCTACGGATTTGCCGTCACGAGTGCCCCGGTCCACTAAATCTACCGATTTGTGGCCTACTCTGCCTCCTCCCCTGACTGGCGCTCCCCGCCACACTCCTCCTCCAACTGCTCCTCCTCGGGATCCTCCTCCAATGATGACGCGGATGACGACGATTGGGAGCTTTCTTCGGACGACGATGACGTCGATCCGGAAGACTGCACTTTGTCCTGGCCACTAACATTGTCGTCGTCATCCTCCATGAACCGCGCCGCACGCTTCCTCTTCCGCCTTCCCTCTGCAGCGTTGGATGTTCTTGCAGCCTTGGCTGCAGGCTGTTCGTCTACCGCGGTCTTCCTCCCATCCTTTGCTGCAGCCTTTGCAGCCTTCGTCGCGGGTGAAAGAGGGGGCCGCCCCCTCTTCCTTTTCGGCGGTGCAAGTGCATCACCTCCCTCCTTACTCTTTCCCTTGCGCGTTGACCGTGCTTCATCGGGCTCGGGAGTTGTCGCCTTTCTTTTTCTTTGCCGCCGTCCTGATGCCTCCTCCCGCCCTTGCACCTAATCACCCGTTTGTCGTGCGCTCATGGCACGGTCAGGCCCTCCAGCGTGTAAAGGAATGCACGCTCGGGCTCTTGGAGGCCCGACTTCCTGCGCAGTTCACGTTCTCTGTGCTTCCCTGGCTTTGTGTTTGCATGCCAAGCGCGTTGCACTGAGCCGAGCCGGGCGATGTCTTCCTCCTCATCCGCACGGTCGTCCTCCTCGTCGTTCTTTTGCCACGTACGCACCATAGGGCCATCTCCATCATCATCATCTGCAACCTCCGCCGCAGCTGCATCACCGGCTCTCCCCTCCATGACCCTCCTCGTCCAATCTTCGTACCACTCCTCCACCTCCGCCGCCGCAAGCTCATTGTCCTTCCAAGGAATGTGGCTGCCCTCCGTCTCTCCAAGCTCCCTGCGAGTGGTCAATTGGATATTCCAATTGCTGTACACCAACTTCGCAAGCCTCTCGGGCAGGAGTTTGGTGCGCCGCTGTCCGTAGACGAGCTGGTGCAAGCTCCAGTTCCACTCGCATGCGGCCGAAGAGCTCACCTGCCCGAGAAGCTTGATTGTCTGCGGCTGGAGGAGGTCCATCGATCCCCCGAAGGCCTCCCACCATAGTGCTGGTGTCTGCACTTTGGCCTGCTCCTTTGCGTTCTGTGTCCCGATTGTGGCCAAACCGCACACCCAAGTGTCGACTTGCTTGCTGATCTCCTTCAGCAACTCCGGTGGCGCCCAAGAGTAGAGCC